GTGAGAGAGTGAGTGAATGAGTGTGAGTGTGTGAGAGAGAGTGTGAGTGTGTGAGAGAGTGAGTGAATGAGTGTGTGTGTGAGAGAGAGTGAATGAGTGTGTGTGTGAGAGAGAGTGAATGAGCGTGTGTGTGTGTGTGAGAGAGTGAGTGAATGAGTGTGTGTGTGAGAGTGAGTGAGTGTGTGACAGAGTGAGTGAATGAGTGTGTGTGAGAGAGTGAATGAGTGTGTGTGTGTGAGAGACAGTGAGTGAATGAGAGCGTGTGTGTGAGAGTGTGAGTGTGTGAGAGAGTGAGTGAATGAGTGTGTGTGTGTGAGAGTGAATGAGTGTGTGTGAGAGAGTGAGTGAATGAGAGCGTGTGTGTGTGTGTGAATGAGTGTGTGTGAGAGAGTGAGTGAATGAGAGCGTGTGTGTGAGTGAGTGAATGAGTGTGTGTGTGAGAGTGTGTGTGTCTGTGAGAGTGAGTGAATGAGTGTGTGAATGTGTGTGTGTGAGAGAATGAGTGTGTGTGAGTGTGTGTGAGAGTGAGTGAATGTGTGTGCGCGCGTGTGAGTGTGTGTGAGAGTGAGTGAATGTGTGTGCGCGCGTGAGTGTGTGAGAGAGTGAGTGAATGAGTGTGTGTGTGAGAGTGAGTGAGTGTGTGGTGTGAGAGAGTGAGTGAATGAGTATGTGTGTGTGAGAGTGAATGAGAGAGTGAGTGAGTGAATGAGTGTGTGAGAGTGAATGAATGTGAGTGTGAGAGTGAATGAGTGTGAGAGAGTGAGTGAATCTGAGTGTGAGAGTGAATGAATGTGAGTGTGAGTGAATGAGTGTGTGTGAGAGTGAATGAGTGTGTGTGTGAGTGAATGAGAGTATGTGTGTGTGAGTGAATGAGTGTGTGTGTGAGAGAGAGTGAATGAGTGTGTGTGTGTGTGTGAGAGAGTGTGTGTGTGAGTGAGTGAATGAGTGTGTGTGTGTGTGAGAGTGAATGAGTGTGTGTGTGAGAGTGAGTGAATGAATGTGTGTGAGAGAGTGAAAGAGTTTGTGTGTGTGAGAGTGAGTGTGTGAGAGAGAGTGAATGTGAGTGTGTGTGAGAGTGAATGAGAGTGTGTGTGTGTGTGAGAGAGTGAATGTGTGTGTGTGAGTGTGTGAGTGAGTGAATGAGTGTGTGTGTGTGTGTGAGTGAGTGAATGAGTATGTGTGAGAGTGTGTGTGTGTGTGTGAGAGAGTGAATGAGTGTGTGTGTGTGTGTGTGAGTGAGTGAATGAGTATGTGTGAGAGAGTGAGAGTGTGTGTGAGAGTGAGTGAATTGAGTGTGTGTGTGAGAGAGAGTGAGTGAATGTGAGTGTGTGTGTGCGTGAGAGTGAATGAGAGCGAGTGTGTGTGTGAGAGTGAGTGTGTGTGTGTGTGTGAGAGAGAGTGAGTGAGAGTGAGTGTGTGTGAGAGAGTGAGTGAATGAGTATGTGTGAGAGTGAAAGAGTGAGTGAGAGTGTGTGAGAGAGTGAGTGAATTGAGTGTGTGTGTGTGAATGTGAGAGTGTGTGTGTGAGAGAGAGAGAGAGTGAGTGTGTGTGTGAGAGAGTGAGTGAGAGAGTGTGTGTGTGAGAGTGAGTTTGTGTGAGAGAGTGAGTGAATGAGTATGTGTGAGAGAGAGTGAGAGTGTGTGAGAGTGAGTGAATTGAGTGTGTGTGTGTGAGTGAATGTGAGTGTGTGTGAGAAGAGAGTGAGTGAATGAGAGTGAGTGCGTGTGTGAGTGTGTGCGAGAGTGAAAAAACATTCGATGTTATACAATCCATGTACAGAAACAGTAAATGTGCGGTCAAACAATATGCATCATTGTGAACAATGTTTTCATAAAGATTTAAGAGGCTAAGAAGGATTTTCACGTTTCGGCACATATTCAATACAAGTGCATGAAAACGTTGACAACTTGTTTAATAACTCAAAACATTCTTCAAACAATAAAACAATTTTATAGTTTCTGTACAATGCTTACTAAGCAGTTTAATTCTATATAGAAAAATGCAGGAGTAGTTTAAATGACCAAACTCCTTCAAATTTAATGGCAGGTACTCTGGGAAAAATAACAGCATTCCATCCACAAATATCTTCAAGCAATAAATATGTATTTATAAATAGTGTAAATGTACATCAGGATTAGAAACAAACAAGGAAGGAAAAAAAACAAAAAACAGACCATTTATTCCTTACTCTATGTGCAACCCATTTTTCTTTGTGACTTGGCTGTTATGTTTTTTTTCCACAGTTTTTTTCCTTTTTCTTACCTAAGAAACAAAATATCCAACATGGTGTCAAAATAACAAGACAGGTAAAACATAAAAGCAGTAAAAAATTATATATCACCTAATTTTTCACATTACAAATATTTTTTTTTATTTTTAGATTTTGCCATCCAAAGTCGTCGTAAAATCGCTATCTACCGTACAAAAAGCTAGGCTAGCGCTCCGTGAAGGCGAAGCCTTGAGACACAAGGAAAGAGATTTCAGGTTTCAGCATGTTAACAAAATACAAAAAGAACGTCTCAAGTCAGTAGTCTGTAAGCGACGATGCCGGTTGTGACAGACAATATGTACAAAACCAGTTTCCCATAAATTCCTCCCCAGTTTTTGTGATTAATTTCTCACGTGAAGCAGAGGCGAGCGGCCCGTTCAGGAAGAGGTGTGTAGAGGGGAAGTTCCTCACTAGCGCCCCCCACAGGCCAGTCACACGCTGCAGTTTATAAACAGGTTGCATAGACACACACAGCCACTTGAGTCGACGGTCCCGTGCTCTCCGATGGTCCCCAGCCACACGAGAGACAAGCGCCACGGTCCTGAATATCAGAAATGGTCCATTTAGAGAGTTCCTGTAATGCGATATTCTCCACATGTACGGCATCTTAATGTCAAGATGAAGACGAATGCAGAGCAGGAGCCTACAAAACACAAGGTGAGCGCAGAGCGTTATTCATTCTGCTCACTTCACGATTCACACACACAGAAGCCATCTGATGTCTCAATTCAAACTAATACAAACCGTGACTAAACCTGCAACGCTCCTTGAACCATCACTAGTTAATCTGCAGTACGAACAAAAGGACACACTCTAGTACATAAACGGCATATTCAGTCAAATAAAGCGACTTACTAATGAGAACTGGTCGTAAACCTGCATGAGGTCCTCCATCCTGAACTGCTGCAGCACCACGAAACCGTCGAGCTCACTGCTGGCCTTCCGAGCGCAATCCTGACACTGAACCACGCAGGACTTCCTGGAGTAACTGTGGCTCGTCACAAAGAGCAGGTTAAACACCTCCACCTGGAACACAGCAGCACAGGAGCGTGATTCAGATGAGCGCGGACAGTTATTCTGCTGTAGAGTCCAGCACTCACCTCACAGATGCTGCAGTAATGAGCCGGCTCATCTCGGCTTCTTCTGTGCCAGACGGTCTCCTTCCCAGCAGACACCAGCGCCTCTTTAATCGTCTGACACTGCTTGAGCGTCCGCAGCAGACAGAACCTGTGAACCAGACATGTTTTACCATTCGATCCAGATCATCAGAGGAGCTGAGACAAAGTGATCGAGAAAACGTCACACTCACTTGATCATCTCAAACAGCTTGTGGTCGGACACTTTAATGTTCCTCGCCAAGTTCCAGGACAGATGCACCATGGGAACCATAGATTTGACGCTCTGGAGTTTGTTCCACTCGTAACGTTCGACGGCCAGCTTGTACTGATACGCTGCAGGAAACAGACAAACACGACAATCACACAACAAGCCAGAAACATGCAGAGAGCCAGGCTGAACACCTGCGCACCGGTCAGAGGGCCCACGCTCCACGAGATGTTATTGCACCAGCCGATGGCCTGACCCCAGTGCACCGTCCCCGTGTTCAGCCACACCAGATCTCCAGGCCGCTGGATGAAGCGGTACACCGGCACATTAGCCTCGTACAGATCCTCCAGATTCGGCCACCACGAGCCCTTCAGGAAGTTGATGTTGTTCCTGAAAGAGAGACTCTTGCTTATTATCAACAGAAGCGATTTATGATTTAATGAAACGTTCATGAGAGCCATACAGCTCTGAAGCGACTCACGAACGTCACGTACTTCTCACAGAACTCGCTCATCACGCCCCAGTACGGCTCCGGCACGGCAAACCACTCGCAGTCGCCCGGCCCGATGTTGATGTTGACGGCGCAGAAGTTATTGTGCTCCTGATGGCCTGAACACGAACAGAGAGATCACGTGACCTGCTGCGACAGACTGGTTTCACTGTGCTTCTGAAGCGTCACGATAACAGCGGCGTCTCACCTGGAGTTCTGCTGCCTGGGACTTTCATGAAGAGCTGGACCGTGTTCATACCCAGAATGCTGTGCCCCACGTGACTCAGCAGGTTCCCAGCAGACACCACACGCGCAAACGCAGGCAGCTTACCGAGTTCCTGCATCTGCAGCTTCCACCTGCAGGGGGCAGCACAGTCAACAACCCGCCTTTGGCTTCATTTAACTAGCAGACTCACATCACACTGAGCTGCAGATGTACTAGTGTAACCGCACTGGACTCTTCCCTCACTAACTACAGCAGCTGTTATTCTCACAGCCTCTTAAACTGCATTCAGAGACACGTTAAACTCAAAAACTGGCTTTGTCAATTGTTCTCAGTTTGAAGTCAAACACTCGACTTTTCACAATATACACAAAGTGCAATAAAGGAAACCACTTGAAAACTCACTTCTTTTCATCAGAGACGTCAATGTTCGTCCCAAACTTGACTTGTCTGAAAGGACCTTTCCGCCTCCTGGAAACACTGAGCAGACGGGAGAGAGTAAGCGCAGGTTTACATCAGCGCAGCTAAAGCTGTTAGTCACGCGACACTCACATTTCTGATGACGTCACCTCAGAGTCTGACAGCTCTTTCTGGCCCTTCTTCTCATGCTCCTCCTGAAAGCGCACAAACATGGATGCTTGATATGCAAAATGCCACGTAATCGATCACTGCGCTAACGCTAATGAGCGGCGATCTGTGTGCGTGCGTCTCACCCGCAGCGACTCCTGGAAGGACGAGGCCTGGTACTGTGCGTATGTGGAGATGGTGGTGTAGGAGCGTATGCTCTCGCAGCGCCACTGCTTCTTCAGACCGCTGGCATCCCAGTTCTCATCGGCCGGCTGACACAGCTGCGTCCGCACCTCCACCAGGTGCTCCGGGTTTGCCTCTACTAGTGTCTTCGTGGAGAACAGGCCCAAATCTACAGAGACAGAGAATACAAACATGAACCGGTTGATGGCATCACATGAACGCTCAAACTCCTCACTAGTGACTGAGCTGACATCAAACACAGGCCATTTCAGGTTAAGAGTCTTAAAAAGATCAACTTGTTCATAAATGTTATTTAGATGTAAAAATCTATTTCTTCCTGTTTGCTCCTTTTGAACATGTCTAGCCGAACCCGTCCCTTTAGGCATTTAAGACACACAGTGGGTATAGAAAATAAAACGTGTACCGTTTTAATTTTATTTAAATTTTTTACATGATTCCCAATTATTTATATTCACGATTTCTAATATTTGTACAGGCTTTACATTTTTATTTCAATGTAGTAACTAGCAATTAATTTAATTTAATTCGATTTGATACAGACTTGACAGAGTGTCAGTACTGCAGCTGATCGTGTCTGAATGATCATGGAAAGTAAAATAATGACCACAACTATTACATCATTTTAATTGTGCATCCCAAGCCCATGCCAGTAATAAAAAAACAGCCCAAACTAGCGCAATTACCATGTCCCAAATATAAAAATGTCTTATATACATAATGAATAGTATGTATTCTTTTCCATCCCTAAAATACATATTTTACAGTCACTGTTATGCACATTTATCATAAACACAGCTCAAATGCTTCCTACTAGTGTGGGCCAAACATTTAGCAGTTTTATTACAGGTAGAATGCAAAATGTTTCAGTACAAGCATTTCAACCAAATGTAATTTATGCAATATTTCAAACCTTTAACCCACTGGGGAAAATCAGCCCATGGCAACAGTTTAAAAGCAGCCCAATTTTGTGGAAAACAACAACAACCCTGCATCCAACACGAGCTGCAGAAGTCAGACTTGACTGATCACGGGTCAAGAGTAAGGAGAGATAACTGACAAGATGTTGGAGGATTTGCTCCTCCACAGATCCCGAGCTTATTGACAAATATCCTTTATCGTAAGATGTGCTCCCTTTACACAGTGTGCACGCGATCGCGAAAGTGAAAGTCAACTAGGACTGCGAGCGCTCATTCAAAAGGGGTTTAAATACCCCACATATTGATAGCGGCGCCCTGATGCGCAAAAATAATATACAATATTAGAATGTTTGCGGAAACGGACACAAAAATCACGGGAGCGGATGGGAGCATGCGGTAATGGTCAGAAATTCAGCGAGAGCGGGATCAACAAGCCCCGCGCTATCACGCATTCTCAGTTTTTGTAAATCCACATGGGGTTCAGAGTAGGGCTGAACGATTAATTGCATTTGCGATAATATCGCGATATGAGAAAACGCGATTTTTCAATCGCAGAGGCTGCTATTACACTTGGTCACGTGACATGCGAGAGTGAAGAGGTGTGTTCCACTTGAAGATCGATCGGTGTATGACATCAAAGTACGGCGAGAGAAAGCATAAGGAGACGTCCGCGCTCTCTTATAGCTCTCGCAGTACTCTGATGATGACACCCATCGCTGCTTCAAGTCGAGCGCGGGCCATCAGCAGAAAAAGAAAATAAAACAGTAAACAGCCAAAGGACGTAACTTAGAATGGGAGATGGATTGGTTTGTGAAAGGGAAGAGAAAAGCCATAGATGAAGTCGCACAGACACAGGCAGCTGCTGGTCATTCAAAAGCTAAATGCATAAAATATGCTCTCGGCTTCACTCACCGTGTCTATACCAGACGCTACAGTTGTGCATCGCGCCGCAACAGCTCTACACTGACGTGACAAAGCAACCGTTGCAAATCATTTGAACTTTGTGTCAGTACGTCATAAATAGAACAAGGCATCAGTTTAATGTCGCGC